ATAAATCGACCAAATCATCGAAGGGAGCCTTACGTGATCCACGGGGTTCATGGCAACACCACGGGTCTTGGGCCAAGAGTTGCGCTTGACAGCGAACTTGTGCTTGGCGCGAGAAGCCTCTGTAGGGAATTTGTTAGCCATCAAAGTCCTCTTCCTTAACCGCAATTTCTCCAAAGATAGATCCAATGGAGCCGGATTTTCGGAGACATACTGAGCAAAGGCTTGTCGGTACGACCACCACCAGCGACGATACCGATCATACCACGGGCGGTGTTCTTGACGACCTTCTTGGCACCGGAGGGGAGCTTGACACGGGTCTTGCCCTCCTCAGGGTTGTGGCCGATGACGGTAACGTAGTTACCGGAGGTACGACCAAGAGCACCACGGTCACCAGCCTTCTCCTCGACGTTGGTAACAACGGTACCCTCAGGGACGGAGGCGAGGGGAAGGACGTTTCCGACAGTCAGGGCGGCGTTCTTTCCGGCGTAGACGAATTGACCGGTGTACATGCCCTCGTTGGCGATGAAGGTCTCGGTGATGGTCTTGAACTTGTAGGGGTGACGGAACTGGACCTTGGCGAGGGGAGCACCACGGCCGGGGTCGTGGATGATCTCCTTCACGACACCACGAGTGTATCCATGACGCTCAGCGTAGTCGAGGGTGCGGAACTGGGCAGGAGCCTTGTTGAGACGGGTGTTTGCCGCTGTCGAGCGAAAAAAAAATTGTATCAGTAAAAATTGATCTGGAGATGCAGCGAATTTCGCTTCAATCTGAATTCTGCTGGTCGCACTCACTGAAAATGGATCCACGACCCTTCCTCTGGTTGCGGATCACGCGACCCATGGCGACTGTCTATATAGGAACCTGGACGTTAGTATTGAGAAAGTTCCGCCTGGCGACCTTGTGGTGGGAGAGTTCGAGTTCTCGTACCTCAAAATGCTAAGATTGGGCTTGTCGGGTTGGTGTTGAGAATTCGTCGGCGAAGGGCTGTGTGGGCTTTAGGGTGGAAGTCGCTAATCTAACCGCGCTAGGACTAGTGTGGTTTTGTGGGCGCGGCTGCGTGGCGCGGGTCGCCTTCTTACTAAGACGGGTATAACTAACGTTGGACTTAAGCGGTTAACGAGCATATCTTGCTTGCATTTGGTGAACTCTGCTATCATCAGAGTAAAGAAAGATTATTATGACTGCAAAGTAGTGAGGTTGCTGATGATATGCAGCCGTTGTCGGTATTTAATTTCCTTCTAGATACATACTGTCCCTTCTTCCTGAATTCCACACTTCATTTAACTCGTCCTTATTGAACTGCCGCTTCCCATTCATCTATCCTGTCTCTGTCCCGGTCACTTGGCGGTTTATTCATGTCGGATTCCATCTCTTGACAAGCAGTATTCCTCCTGCTGCTGTTACCTGAGATGTCCCTGCAGTGGGCTATTGACTCGAGCCACCGCCTCTTTATGTTTGTCCCGGGCTGACCTGGCTTAATAGCACTATTGTCTTACTGGCGTCTCTATATTACTTGGATGTTTTTCTCCATGTAAACAGATCATACTGGTTCAGAATGGTCAAATTTGATCATCCGGGTCAGCGAAACGGGATCTTGATGTTTGCCGCATCTCGTTCCGTCGTTGGGCTTTCTACATGTCCCCGGGCCGCCTCAGGGTCACCCACCGATCCGCAATTTCAAAAGGTCACAAAGTGTACCCGGGCAAATGGGATCTGACGTGCCTGGGGAGACTGCCACAAGGTTATCCTGGCATCTTCACGCCACCAGGCTGCTTAATGTGGATCGACACACTGTCCTTGTCACATCCGGCGACCCGAATGTTGACAACTTCTTGCAGAATTGCATGTCTGCTTAAGGGAACGTCGCCCAAATGCCCTCAGAAATGATGTTAGGGCAAGACCCAATGTCTGAACCCTGAAGGACTAAGTCGCGCTGTTTGACGATTAGTTACACTCCTTCGTTGTTGGAGCGGACGCTCGGGTAGTATTGATCTATTAAGAGATTCGAATTTCATGATCCAAAGCTACTTTGCATTAATGACACTCATCGATGAAATCTTCTGAATGTAGTCTGTTCCGCGGACCTGTTGCGCGTTTGATGGAGCTCAGTTCGCGATAGCGAATGTGTTATCGTGATTGGGTGTTGATCATCCCTGGATAAGGGCTGCTCTTGATGATGCCAGACAGGCCAGGCGCGTAAAAGCCGCGCTCCGACCCAAGTAGGTAGCAGTAGCGTAAAGTAGAACTTCTGCCGCGGATTCGCCCGCTCTGTCTTGCCTCACCACCACCACCTGCGGACAGCACCACAAACATGTCGAACATGTCCCTCTCAGACTCGGACCTATCGTCGCTTTCGTCGGCGCCTCCGTCCGATGAAGAAACGGGCTCCATGGCCATTGATGAGCCCGTCGGCATCACGAAATACTTCAAGAAGGAGTCCGAATCTCCGCCGCCGAAGCGGGAGCCCTCACCACCCCACGAATATGTGTTGGCGGATAATCCAGATATTGCAGTATGTTCCAGGAGGATTCTACGATAATGAAGACTCTTCTAAAGCTCTTTGGACGCGTTTGGCACGTTTCCTGATCATGTTTGCTGACCTGTCGCAATGTGTAGTTCATTGTAATGTTCCGTGCGCGTTTTAACGATGCGTTCCCGCGATCTACACCACACTTTGGACCACAGGACGTTGAAAGAGGCGTCGCGGAATCTCCTCCAGGCGATCATATTGAGAGATTGTTATGTGCATTTCTTGGATTGGTATTGAACCGGAAGAAGGATGTCGAGTATGACTGCCTCCTACGCCCCAGACCCTACACTCTTGAAAGATACGACGGGGAGCTCCTTTTCGACCACACATGTGTCAATGCTGGTTACCATGCATCGAAGCTAACTCGCTCAATCAATGCGCAGTCGGAATCACTACCAGCGTCCCTTGGAAGAGGCGATCCAAACCCATGCTTCTCAGTGGCCTAAGGCTTGGCAAGGCAAGAACCCTCTGCACGGGGGTCGCACATTCGCAACCATGTCGCCAGAAGAACGCGTACGTCGCCTAACTCGAACCAAAACCACCGAGAGCTCGTATACTGACATTGTCTAGTTGGTGTTACTGAAATCCTTGATCCTCTGGTCCCTTGCCTCGTCCGATGCCATCCAAGCCAAAATCAAAGAGTCCTATAAACAGGCACGCCACGAAGACGACCTGAACCAACCACTCTCCGTCCAACCGTGGGGCCGCGACGGCCTCAAGCGCAGATACTGGCTCATTGAAGGATTGGATGATACACATTTCAGACTGTACCGCGAGGGCAACCCAGCCCTCAAGAATGTTACCTGGTGGAGTATCGCGGGAAATATTCCTGAGTTGAAGGCAGTTGCGGATAGACTTGACGGCGAGAAAAGCATCCACTCCAAGAAACTTAGTGAGCGGATAAGGAACTCCATACCCCGCTTTGAGGGCTCAGAGGAGGTAAGCAGTCGCTTCTACTTGTGGTTCTTTTCATCGGTGCTTACTAGTGGCAGAAACGCAAGCGTCGAGATTACCGGATTGCGCGAAAGGCGGCATTCGCTCGGCCAGAGCCTGGCTTCTCCTTATATGAAGGCCGTACACGCGGAAAGAAACTGAAATACACCTACTCCGATGACGAGGACATCTTCTCTGATGGCCTTCCTTCTACACGGCGCTCAACGCGCAATACCTCGGGAATTTCCACACCCCCAGAACCAGCCGGCCCCAGATTTACAGCCAGTGGTAGGCAAATACGGTCTCGCGCAGGCGGCCTTTATGGCGAGACGTTATTGAGTGGACAACGCGAGGACGGCGATGCTGGCGACGAGGGTAGACCCACAAGGGGTCGGACGACTCGAGCAAATGGGTATACAGAGTACGACGATGAAGAAATGGATGAAGGCTCGGAAGAAGGACAATCCAGCGGAAATGAGTGGCAAGGAAACGAAGGCGAGGAAGAAGAGGACAACGAATTCGAGGGCGACGACGAAGAGGAGCTGAGTGGGGATGAAGCAGTGATGAACGGAGAGCCACCAAGCCTTGTGGTACAACTCAGGTACAATAAGGACAAGGTCCCAAGTAGCCCCAATGGGCCAACAGAGGAACCCTTACAGCAAGATCCGAAGAGCAAGGAGGATGTGGCTAAACCGGTCACGGCGACCGGTGCGGAAGATGCACTGCAAGGACAACCACCACCCGCAGTGAACGGGCAGAGCTCCCAACCAGACGTTGTCGCAAAGGCTCTACCTAGTGCTGCGCCCGCAGCCCAAGATGTCACCACAACTGACACATCTGCCAAAGTCGATGTATCGCAGCCGACTGCGACTGAGACGAAGACCCAAACAGCTTAGAAAGAATGAAACTAGGCAAGACACATATACTATAACAAACACAGTACCAGTGGTCGATTCCCCTGGTCTCGATAGAGTTATCCACCGAAATACGATATTCCTTGTCAGACTTGAGATATAACTCGCTCACAATTTTTTCAAGGCGTTTTCTGTTCGTGGGTGGAATTTGTCGGGTCAAGCTTTGCGGCAAAAAATTGTGCTGTTATTAGAAATGCGACGTGTGTGATATGGAGTTCTACCGTGACTGCTATATAGCAGGATGAATATGGGCGTGAATCGTGAATCGATCGGCATCGGTATTAGAGAGATGAGGGATTATTTGACCCCAAGATATAATCTGTCATACTACTATATGGAATACCAGATGGACGGACGGACCTCTTGCTGGGGCTGCTATGCGCTATGTACAGTATTTAAATTGCAAGATTGGGATGAAACAATAGAAGTCTCGTATCCCTTGGGCGTAGATACTAGAGATAGTGTGTAGGAAAATTGAAAGCTCCAGGCTATATAAGGGGAAGCTTAATATCAATGAGAAACGCCGTACGCTAAACTCCCAAAATGCGGACTTTACTAGACACCCACAGTCACGTCAATACCTTTGACAACCATACATATAAATCACTCAAAAAGCCGATCTAGTCAGCACCGGCATTCGAGAACTGGGCCGTGTAGAACTGCAAGAACTCCGCAAATGTCAGTGTCTGTCTCATTGGTTGCATGACCGAAACTCTCGGCTTAGAGGAATAAAGTCCTTGAAATAAAACTATCCCAAGGACGGATAATGGTATGAATGCACTCACGTCTTCCACCTTCTCCGCAATGCGAGGATCCTTAGCCGACCGCAGGGGAGGCAACTTCCAGTTGTTCACCTCATACCACCATCTCCGGATCTTGCTACCGAGTGTCTGGCCGCTAAGGGACGCGTTGCGATTCCAGAATCGCCAACCGGAGAGAGCGAGAGTCCAGACGGTGCCCTGGATAAGAGGGAGGAGGACCTAGAGCGCATTTGTGTCAGTTTGAAGACTCTTTTGCTTCCAGTGGAATCCTGCAAGACAGGCAGGTAACCTACCTGGTCTCTGATGGTAATCCAAGCTACTCGGCCCCAGGTATCAGCTCCCCGCAAGCTGGCGAGATAGCTCTGTTCGAAGCGCAGATCGGGCAATGGGGGCAGCTGGTGTCGTCGCGAGGCGGGCTTGATCATACGGTGGGGGGCGACGACATCAGAGGGGATACTGCCTGCTTCGGAGGCGACATCGTCTTCCACGACGGGCTGCTTCTCGGAAGCTGCGGTGGGCGGGTTGACGTCGTGTTCCGCGGACGGCTCCGGGTTGATGGAGGCGGTTTGGATGACTTCGGGGATTTGGAGGGCGGGGTCGGTCATGATGGGTGGTAGATCTGTTTAAGGGGCAGATAAATGTGTGAATGGAAGGATTTCGGACCCGCGGGTTTTGACACCAGGTGGATTTAGACTTGTAGATAGTAAGATTGAGCGTATAGACTAAAAGTAAGTAGGGAGGAATGATGGGATAGTCCGGGCACGGAGTAACTTGTTGGTTCCTGCGGCCAATCAGCGGGAGGCAGCCATTACGCCCGCCTTTTTGGATTCTGCATGGCTGCCCCTCCTTGACTTGGTATATCTCGCTGCTCTCTCTCCCTCTTTCTCTCTTCCCTTCTTCCTCCCTCTCAATATCCTCCCTTGCCTTTTCTATACTCTCTACCTCTTTTCTCCCCCATTTCCTTCCACACCACCCTCCACAATGGCTGCTGCTCAAGGTTACCCTCTTCTGTGCCTGGAGAACCCCCTCCTCGGTGCGTGAGATTTCCCCTCCGTCTCTTTCTCTCGCTGCTTACTATCCCCGGATCTTACATTGTTCAATGGGCTAACTTACGGTATCTTGATTGCTTCCTATAGACATCCAGGCTGTCGGGTATGTTACTTCTTCCGGAAACCCTAACTTATAATTAATCTCTCTTCAAAGTATTCTAACATTGTCACTAGTGATGCCGCCCTTCTGCAGAAGTATGGCCTGAAGGACAACGATGCTATCCTTGCTGAGGACAAGCACATGGGTCTCTACGATGAGCTGTTCGCCAAGAACGATGTCAAGCTGATCGCCGGTGGTGCTGCCCAGAACACTGCCCGTGGTGCCCAGGTACTTAGACTACCCTGAACCCTTCCACCAAGGCATACGGACGAATGTTAATGTGATGCCGAACTAGTACGCTCTTCCCGCCAGCTCCGTCTGCTACATCGGATGTGTCGGCCGTGACAAGTACGCCGAGATCCTGAAGGAGGCTTGCGAGCAGGCCGGTGTCCACACCGAGTACCGTGTCGATGATGCCCAGCCCACCGGCAAGTGCGGTGTCATCATCACCGGCCACAACCGCAGCATGTGCACCCACCTTGCTGCCGCCAACGAGTACAAGATCGAGCACTTGAAGCAGCCTCACATCTGGTCTCTCGTTGAGAAGGCCCAGTTCTACTACGTCGGTGGTTTCCACCTTACCGTCTGTGTCCCTGCCATCCAGGCTCTCGGTGAGGAAGCTGCCGCTAAGAACAAGGTATGGTCAACCCCATAGGATTTTGTTGACAACATACTGACCGGGTATCAATCACAGGTGTTCATGCTCAACCTCTCTGCCCCCTTCATTGCCCAGTTCTTCAAGGACCAGCTGGACAGCGTCCTCCCCTACACCGACTACACCTTCTGTAACGAGACCGAGGCTCGTGCTTTCTCCGAGAGCCACAGCTGGGGCACCGACGACGTCGTCGAGATCGCCAAGAAGCTGGCTCAGCTCCCCAAGAAGAACTCCAACCGTCCTCGTACCGCCATCGTGACCCAGGGCACCCTCCCCACTGTCGCTGCCACCGTTAAGCCCAACGGTGAGGTCGAGGTCAAGGAGATCCCCGTCCGTGAGATCCCCAAGGAGAGCATCAACGACACCAACGGTGCTGGGTAAGTAATTAACTTCCTATACAACTCAATTGCTGGAATCAGAATTTAACCGTCACACAGTGACGCCTTCTGCGGTGGTTTCTGCGCCGGTATCGTCCAGGGCAAGTCCCTCGAGGACAGCATCGACATGGGCCAGTGGCTCGCTTCCCTCAGCATCCAGGAGCTGGGTGCCTCGTAAGTCCCCAAATCAGCCCCATCCATCCATCAAACACATGTCTGGCAGTGACTGACCCGAAATGCCCGATATCTAGTTTCCCCTTCCCCAAGCAGGCCTACACCCCCATCAACCGCTCCTAAGCATCCTCCACCAAACACCCACCTTCGGAATCGTGGAGCCATAGCTGATACCTTTTTCTCTTTCATCTACAAAAAATTTCCTATTTTCCCTCCTCTTCTCTTCTAAAGATTCAACCTTCTATACCCCTCACGTCCTTGACTTAACGTCTTAGACTATGCTGTTTTCATCAACGGTCTATGTATGCGGATCCTCGCTATCACGCTTTCCCTTTGGGTTTTATTTTCATGATGATGGATAGATATTGCAGAGTTGCAGATGATGACGTTCTCAACAACGAATTTAATGAAGAATTTATCTTGGTTGTATATATAATATATACTACAAAATCAGTCGAAACATTTCGATCTATTTTGGGACTTTCTTGGTTTAAAGTGGAAACTAGTGATATCGTATTGGTAGAATACTAACCTATGATGATGATGACTATATGACGCCTGAATAGGATAGGAAGAGCACATGCAATGGGAGCCGAGTCACAATAGTGGCTATGACGAAGAAGTGAGGAGTAAGACAAATAAGGTACGATGAATTCGAATTCTTCTTGTAACGCTTGCAAGTGCACGATTCATCCATGCCGTGGCCTCATATATAGATAGCTAGCTAGCTGCATGCAGTTTAATCATTCTCCCCATCCTCCTCACCCTCATCAGTGCACAAGCGTCAAGACCTTGAGATCATTATCATCATCGTCATCATCGTATCCCAGGCACAGTCAAATCTCATCAACAAGCCCTTTTATTCTGCGATAACCCGCCGGTGACGGCTATGGATGGACGAGCATCATCCAATCCTATGGTATTCGGATCACGCCATTGTCGGGACCTGAGCTGTGGTAATGAGTGACGAAGGTCTGCATAGCAATGACCATTCCTCCTCTTTATTCCTACCAAGCCTTCCTTTGCCAGCCTGATCCGACTACAAAAGGATTGAGAATTCGGAGATAGGTGGATAGGGTCGGTCACTCAGTCCTTGGGACACACAGCTAGATAGTCGCATGCTTCCTCAATTCTGCTCATGTGTCTGCGAAAGAGGTGCTGAAATATGAGTAGCCATACTGACCCACCCACAGAACTTGGTTGAGTGGTACAGTCTTTGAGATCAGCCTCCGTGGCCGCAGGGAGGAGTCTGCCCGATGGCACCGTATTGCGTGGCGGATTTACGAGTGTTGGTGAACCCGGGACTGGAAAACCCTGCTCCGGAGGGGAAACTGCTGGCGATGAATGCATTATTGGCCCAAGATGCATTACTTAGTCCGCTGGACATGGGTTGGCTGGACACTCCTAAGGAACCAGGTGTGTTTGCAGCGGCGTCTACTAAGCTTTGATCCCATGAGAATCCAGAAAGGCGGTGGTGCGACGTAGAGTTGGGCGAGGGCATCCAGGAGGAGGGTATGGTACTAGGTCCATTGAGCGGACTGTGCCTCAAGGCTTGATTCATCATGCTCTGCCGGAGCATGCGCTCATTCTCGCTAGCGATCATATCCTGAGATGCTGGATTGTTCCCCAAGGCTTGGTTTATCATGCTCTGCCGGAGCATGTGCTCATTAGCAATCATATCCTGAGATGGTAGATGATGATTGGGACTGGCGATGTTTCCAGGCAGCATGGAAGCCGGGTACTGTTGTCCCAGACCTGGCGGAGTCCGTGGCGAAGGCGCATCACCGAGTTCCGGCGATAGAGCCGTGTTCCAAATGCTTGGGATACCAGGAAGGGCAGGCCGGGCGGCGTAAGCGTGAGAAGACGACACTCGGACGAGAGGTGCAGAGCCAGTCACGGGTGGTACGAGTCCAGGGGGAGCAGCAGGGGTCTGCCTGGGAAGGAGATCCTCTGGGAAGATCGAATCCATACTTGAATCGAAGAACTGGCTGGATGGTCGCTGTTGATTGCTGCTCCGTGGAAAAGCCAGCTGCTCTGGTACGGCCGGAGCATTCTCGTAGGTGTCGGATTCTACTAATCGTTCCACACCTTCAACAATCCGATGCATGCTAGCTGACATCGATGCGGAGGCGGCCTGTGAACCACCAAAGACACTCCTAGTGTCAACGTTGTGGCTGGGATCAGGGGCTGCCTTTTGGATGTCGTCCCGTTCAATACTAGCGGATGAGATCGTATGGTGATGGCCGGAGGGACTGGCGAAGAACTGCGAAGGGAGCCCTTCTTCTTGGTAAATAAACGTTTTCTTGTCTTCATCGTCCACCAGGGCAATGGGTATTTTCTGAGCAGACAGTAGTTAGCATGGCGATTGAGGATAACAATAAGCACGTAGTATCCATACATTGCTCACAACGAGATCCAAGCCATCAATAACAAACTCGCGGATTCGGTAGAGCATCTCCATATTGGGGTGATTCCTTTCTACCCCAGGATCGTTCATTCGGGGCTTCTGCTGGCCAGTCGAGCTGAAGTACCTCCGGGAAGTTGCCTCTTTGGCCAAGGGCGCAAAACACAAGGTCTCTTCATCCTCTTCCAGCAAATAGTCGATCTCAGGCAGATGCACTACATCGAACGTCGACGCAAGAAGGGTTAAAGTGTTGGCATAAATCTTCCAGAACTCGATGATCTGGACTGCTAGAGGACTGTCCTTTTCCCCTTGGTAGGACACCAGTAGGCTGCTGGCTGTAAGGAGCCAAGAGCTGTAGTTTCGTAGCGCCGGAAGGACACGTCGTGCAACGACAGTAACCTTATCAGGTCCGGTTTGGGCGTCTTTGTTGCTGGGGTCCTCAACCGCAAAGCGTTCGACTTCGGCCAGGAGAATCTGGAGCAATGTGAAGAATGTCTTCACGTTGATCCGTTGGAAGAAGGAACGCGCATTGGACGTGGAATCATCTAGTAATTTGGTTCAATGCACGCTTCTATTAACGGGAAAGTCGAGAAACCTACCGCTCGTATGTGTCCGCGAGAACTCCTCGGCAGCGATGTTGATCAGGCAGAACTTTTGCAAAGTACCTTCCAGAGAGCGTTCCTTCAAATCCACAGCAAGTTGATTCAGGACTTCACTTTCAAGCTCGTCGTGTTCAGGGAAATCAATCCCTCTATAACACTGCGCGTGAAGGTATACAAACCAAGGGGCCAATGACCTGCCGGGAATGCCAGCGTCTTCGGGTCGAATCAACTCTCGTTTGACCCACGCATTCATGACCTTTCTGAATTCAATCTCAAGATTACCCTTGGCCGAAGGATGGGGCTCTTGAGCGGCCAACGCTCTATACAGATGATAAGTGGCCCTTAGATGGTTTC